TAAATTTCAGCACGTTAATAAAACGATAATAACCCATGGGGTTACTATTAGATTTCACCAAAACTATAGACGAAAATCAACATTTTTGTTGCTTTAACACTAAAATCAACATTATTCACAATTGCGCCGTTGATGACCTTTTTTTTGAATTTACTCCTTTGTAATTTTCCTTATGCTACAATTTTAATTCAAAATAAAGATATTTCATAATAACCTTTGATAGTTCATCGACCAAAAGATGAGGAGCGGACATGTGTTTTTGAGTTTATGAATAAAGTTAAATGAAGAAAGTTTTTGTACTGTAGTTATTTATTTTTATGAATTACTGACGTCTAGGGTGGGTGGGTTTTGCAACTTAATTTACATTAAACTTAGTACAGTAATAGTAACACACCACTTTAATATCAAAAAGATACTGATATAACATAATAAAGAATCCCTAATTAAGTAGCCATAAACGGATTTCAAGATTACAACTTAACTGAGCCTACAGTACGTAGTAAGTATATAAACTAAATGGCTGAAAGTCTCAAATATATAAGTAAAGCTCAATACGATTTGGGTTTTAGAGGCCATAATTATTAGTTATTTTATGTTCATTACATTGTCTTTTACCTGCCACCCTTTTTACTTTTCTATGTTCCCGAGAACGCATAAGGTCATTTTCAGAGACCTGAACGATATGCGCCTTAGACCGTTCAACCATCTTGACAAAACAAACGGAAATTTATTTCTGTCAATAATTATTATATATATTATATATAAATATTTAGTAAAACTATTGAAATGTCAGGAGTGTGATTCGAACCCGCGCCTACAAGAGTAGACTTCGACCTGAACGCAGCACCTTAAACAGCTCGGTATTCTGACTTATACCAACTTATACCAAACATGGATACCGGTAATGGATAATGGTAACTTTTGGCCATAAACCTAAAATTAATATCTGTGTTCGGATTACTGTGTCATAAGCCAGTTTTCCACTAGGCGAATGTATTCGCACGAATCGAAAGCGTCGTTCACATTTCTATCGAAATTTTCGATTCAGCGAAATTGGTAGTTCAAACTGTTTCTACTTTTTGCGAAGCAAGAAGTGTGCGCAACCAATCAGAGCTCAGGAACCGAACTGACGCCTTCGATTCATGCGAATAAATTCTCCTAGTGGAAACCGGCTTAAGGCCTATTCACACACTTCCAGTTTGGGTTTTACGACCAGTGTGAATTAAATTCTTTATTGGCCATACTGTTGATCCACTTAGTCTTGATATGGTAACGCAAATGGTCGCCGATACAAATAAGAATGGGAGAGTCCAGGGAAGAGCCAATTACCGGGAATCTGTAAATGGATTGGAGTTGTGAATTAGGACTCGGATAGGAGAAAGGTCCGAGAGAAATAACGGTACGGGGAGAGACGGTTCTGGGTTGACTAAAGAGTTGCAAGTATAAAATATTTTTGGACGTTGACAAGTTACTTGATTAAAGTTAATGTCAACTCAGTGGAAAAAAACGTTACAATATTTTTCGTTTTTTCTGTGTTGTTACTATAAGTTCCCAATCCATGCCATAAGCCTTAGGCCTAACATGATTTCAAATCATTACTGTTGTACAGACCTAACTACGCATCGCAATAGAAAATAAATTATTGTAATACTGTACTAGAATGTACTGTGGTTTCAAATTTATGTAGATTTCATATTGGGAAATATATCATAAATGACGTAGGCCTATTTGGACTGAAAATTATTCTTACAAATGTGTTTAATTTTATTGTACTTCCTTCTTAGGTCAATTAAATTGAAATTATATAAAACAATCAATCAAATTCGTATGACGGCGTGCGAAAAATACCCGAAACAGGACAGTTCACTATTATCGTTAGTGTCTCCTAATTGTCAATTTATTGTCAATTTCCGGAGGAAAAATGTTTGGATATGTTGTACAACTGATTTTTCAAAGACACAAAAAGCATATTTTAAACACTTAATTTTAAAGGTGGGGGACCTACTTTTTTCTACCCTTTTCCACAATTTTAAATAGGCCTATTCAAAAATCTTACCTCAATAATCGCTTCAAAGTGTTTCCTCAAATATGATTTTTGTGTCTTTTTTTATCATCTTCAAAGTGTTTCGTAATCATTTGTGTATATTTGTGAAATGGCAATTTAATATAATCTCTATTCATACCCTTGGATAGTATTACCTAAACTAATTGTTTTTGTGGCCATTTCACCAAATATCCTGGACGCACCCACCTGTGTAGCAGATCGTAAATTTTGCAATTCCAGAGAACCGCGTGACATGTGTTGACGACGGATATGTTGGACAGCAGAATTTTAGCAAAAAGACGCCATTGTTTTATGATTATAGTGTACCGTATATTTGTGATGCGTATCAACAAATCCACTACGGTAGGCTTATTAAATGTCTGTTAAAGCAATTGTAACTTGTAATTTGTTGATATGTTCCATTACCAAACAAATCGAGTTAACTTTTTTGTACTCGTGCATGGCATGGTGGAAACAGACTCGGACGGACGAACGCTGACTTGTATCGAAAAGAATTCTTGATGTGATTAGTATGCATTTATGTATTTATTTATGTTAATATGTTATTTTCTCACTGTTGTCCTGTAAATAAATACATTGTGTAATAAATAATTTATATATATATATATATATATATGTATGTATATACATATATATGAGTGAGGAAATAAAAGAATTTTATGGGTGTATGTACGTATATATAATCAAAGAAAGGTAAATACATTGTTAGAATAAAGGACATGATGGTACATCCGTGTAGTATAGCTCGTAACGATTGTTGTCCTGTAAATAAATACATTGTGTAATAAAATGCCACCGGCGGGATTCGAACCTGCGACCTCTCGCTGTCAAAACGAGCGTCATAACCATCTAATAGTTTTGACGCTCCAAATAAAAGGCAATAACATATTGTAGTTCACAGTATATGACTAACTAAATTGGCCATTTCAATGTCACTACTCAATTAATATTTGTACGCTGTATGTCTATATTGCATTATTGCAAAGATACCTTCGTGGTAATATGACCATTATTTCGGAGAACATCTCCTTAATGAACATGGTAAGAAAAATCAGAATAACAATAAAATAACTATAACAGTATCTATAAAAAATAACAAAAAACAACAATAATAGTAGTAGTGCAATAGCAGAAGCAAACATACAGAGAACCTAATTTTAAAACTTTTAACAATTAAGAGTAATACTAAATTCAAGGGCGTGATAAATAATGTTACATTACTGATTCAGGCTGAACTTGGCAGGTACCGGTAAGTATTATTAAAATGTTATCAGTAGTATGGTATTCGAAACTCTACGGTATTCATGGACGCACATCATGCGGTTTGGGGGAGGACGGGAGAGACGTCCCTCCACGTTTCGACCACAATGTAGTTTCATAAGTAAAGATGATGCCTGAAAGTTGTTGAAATGAACTGTATATGACCCAGGTTTTCAGTACTGTACATCTTATACCGTAAAACTCCCCCCTCTTTAGTTTGCAAAATTAGCCTCGAAAAGAAGTCCATCTCTAAAAGACGCCCATGGGCTTCTTTTCAAGATAGGATAAGCTTCTTTTCGAGATTGTACGGTACATACACTGTACAGGATTTCGAAAAACAAAATAAATAAATACAAGCTTGGTTTATACATTTAATGCCAGTTAAATACACTCCATGATACAGATTAATGTTACAGTGGCCTTATTTATTGTTTTATAATACAAATTCACAAAATTTACAGCATTCATTTTGAAAAGAAGCCTCCTCTTTACTTTACCAAAGTAGTCTCGAAAAGAAGCCCAACTCGAAAGAAGCCCATCCAAAGTTCGCAAAAAAAAGGGGAGAAAAAAAAGCCCAGGGCTTCAATTAGAGGTTTTACGGTATTATAGTACAATACCGGTATCACTTGTGCGTGCTTTCTTTGTAATTTGTGAAGTATAAGAAAAGTATAAGAATTTCTGCACAGGAAGTAGGTAAAGTAAAGTAAATAGACTTTTATTTTCTATGGTACAATACAGAGATTAATTAGATCTCTATGATAGCCGAAAATCACTATTAAAAGATCATGGTGATTTTGATGGCAACTTTTATTATATAAGAGTGTCATTTTCGGCCAGGTACTATTTCCTTAAGTTTTCGTGCCTCAACCAGGACCATGTCTTTGTGGTCTAACGGTATGACACTCGCATTGGTAGCGAAAGGCTGCATGTACGAATCCCTTCAGAGATCATATTTGATACAACTGAAAATTTAAAAAAATTGTTGAAGGGCTGCTTCATACGATTATGATATCACATGTTCCTATCCGAACATTGGCTATAATTTATCTACTTTGAGTTTTTTTTTTTTAAGATATTGTTATACAGTAGTTAGTATACTTTATTGTTATTAGCAAGTTCGTTAGGAGATGTGCTACACAATCCGATCATTATCACCTCGGAGACAATAATAGCATAACATAGACGTGCTTCCCGTTTATATCTTATCCTATTGTTCGTTGCATATAAAATATGTTTACAGTACTTTGATTAGGCCTAATTGCCAAAGAATTGATAGGAAATCAATATCTGGCATACTTATCGTGGTGCGTTCACAAATATATAGCTAGAGGCATTTTTTTAATTAGTATTTTGTAATGATGCAATAGACATTCGGTGTACTGATATCAATATTGTGTAGTGTAAAATGATCAATATAGTTGGTCATATACTGTGAACATGTGATATTGCGTTTTAGTTAAGCAAGGTTATTTATCTGTTATTAGGCAGTTTTCGCCGCACGACATTAACCTTAACGTTAACAGATGACGTCATAATTTATTCATCTTGCGTTGCGTTCATCTTGAGTACGTTAATTTCCGGATTTTACGTGTTTGACGTACGTTAGTTACGGGTTTGCACATGCGTATTTTGATTTGTTTGAAAAAGGGGCGGAGCTATTCCGCTGCATGTTGGGTACTAACGTAAAAGTTAAGGTTAACGTCGTGCGGCGAAAACTACCTAATGTCAGCTCATTCACCGCAAAGGCATACGCATAAGCAACTGCTGTAAGGCAACAACGCAATGTTCAGACCACTATCGAAACGTAAGTATCTATTGTAGACTTTGATATATTCTTGTTACACACTTTTTACGGATTATCAATCAGTGGGCATTTTGTATCTGAAAAGAAAATATATATGTTATATTAAGTGGAAAGTTGCAACGTCTTTTGTTCAAGACTGCAAGCATTAGGTAACACAAGAGCTTTCTCATTGGTCAAGCTGAGTCAAGTATAATGCGTCCTTTTTTAACATTAATTTGTTCAATATAAAATGAGTGGCAAGCCTGGTAAGCGTACTCCAAGATTGAGCGTGATAACGGGTTAAATCCTTTCAGCATATAGGCCCTACTTTAATATGTATAACGAAAACACATTTTTTTTTGTAAGAACCATTAAAATGTTGTCCAGACTCGGTGTTCTTATCTTTTTGCCGAATCAAATTCGGTGCTGTTTACACTGGCGACTCCAGAATGCACCCGGGTTGTCCTACGCTGAAATGCACGTCCCTCCCGGAATGTTTGGCAACCCGAGTAGGACATTTTGACGTTTACACTAACCACAACACGAGAGATTTAAACCCGGGTATTGGAAAATCCCGTTACGTCAGGAATTTTGCTTGCAGTGTAAAAGGGGTATTACAGGTACTATATATATTAACAGGACAATTTAAACATTCGTCTGATCAAAGTGGGGTTGCCAATCGATCTTCTCTAATTTTTCTCTACCAAAATATTTTACAACTTTCCTAATTTACATAGGCAAGAGCCAATCAGCATTTAGAATTACTTTGGGAAGAAATGTAATTAACATATCAGGCAAGAGCCAATCGGCGTTTAGAATGATAACTTTGGGAAAAAAATCTAATTAAGATAAAAGGCAAAAGCCATCAGCATTAATAGGTTAACCCATTTTACACAAGGGTAAAATTAAGCAAGATAGACTACCAATTTCGTTACATTATATTATTTGGCCTAATTTCAGTTTATTTTATATGTCTTTTAATTCCATATCTTAAAAAAAATATTTTTGGGCACACAAATTTGGTGTAACTAACAATTGAATTTCATTTGATTAGTTTCTATTGCTCTTCCTATTCGCAGATGCCATATACCTATGCTGGCTTTACATAGTAAGCGTATTGTTGGGAATTCCATGTAGAGCACAGAGTAAGTTCTGAGTTGTTACTGTAGTTATTGTATTTCAATTCACTCCTTTCTGTATTATTATTATTATTATTATTGTTATTATTATTATTATTATTATTATTATTTATTAGTTATTATTATTAGGCCTAATTATTAATTTTATCCTCATCATCACCGTCATCATCATCATCATCATCATCATCATCATCATCATCATCATCATCATTATCTTCATCACTATTACCATCATCATGTTCTTAACCATATTATAGTGGGTTACCCGTCCAGTGTATCCCATGGCATGCTTAAATAAAATGAAATAACATGATGCTGTACAGGCAAAGTTTCATTACGAGGCTTAGGTAGTGGAAATGTTTTTAGTCGTGAGAAAAATATCTTTGTACCGTCACAGGATTTGAACCCAGGACCGTGGAATTTTTTGTAAACATGATCGCAAAATTGTGTAAACAGATAGGAGTTAATACACTGGGCGATCGCCAACTGACTTGGCTTAAAAAAAAAGATTCCGACGACACCTCATTGATTTTAAAATTAAAAATAACATGACATTATAGCTGAATAAATAAGGAACAAGTTGCAAAAACAGCCAAAATATCGGTCTAATATTAACGAAGATACCTTAAATAAAACTGCTCAAAAAGGGCTGATTTTCAGCGATTTCGCACCGTTTGGCGATTTCGGGCCGGATTTTTGGAACACAAAACAACAGTTGTATTCAGGGGACACCACTATTAAGGGGGACACTTTTTTAAAGCCAGATACTCATTGCCGGCGTGATGATTCTATGAGCAACATAACGCGACGACGCGTGCGCAATGGATCGTTTATAAATGACAATGAGTTCAGACGGCATCGCGTCGTCTTGCGCTCACGTTGGCCGACGCAGTGAGTGCCGGACTTTAAGCATAAAAACTTCAAGGAATGAATATTATACACGTCATCGTGTGTAATTATTTGTACGAATTGTAGGAAGTTCAAGAGTGACTAATACATTCTCTATTATCTTCGCTCAATTCGTCCGCATCAATCCAACCAATAGGGGACGGAGCGTCTACTCTTTAATATTTGAACTTCTGGGCCCATGCCCATGCTCAGGTAAATATCGTAGTCTCACTGAGAATTTCACAATTCACTATTATGGCGATGGGATTCAGTCTTTGTATGGGCCTTGTATTTGAATCAATGCAAGAATAAAACAAGTGATTGATAGTAGATTCTGTGGAGTTTAATACATTTACTGTCAACCTGAACATACAAAATACTATTTAATAGTTGTTCAATTAAAATGTGCTATTTTCAAGTCTGTATCGGCTTTCTAGCCACGCTCCACACTTTTTGCACAGACTGTGGATATTATATCAGCGCTTTTGTATTAATGCCTTTTCACACGTAATCTTAGCCATTGTTTAGTTTTCAACCAATCACCAGCAAGTCTCACCAACCAAAACATAAAGGTATATCATTGTTTTGGGGTTTCTGCAGATATTATTCTCCTGAAGACGATTATAGCAACTCAATCGAAACGTCGAGATATTCTCAACCAACAACAACAGTTATTTACAGAACTATCTACGTGGTGTACCACAAACATTAAAGGCCAACTCAGACAGCGTCGGCCGACGCAGCCCGACCCGATTTATCGTCGGGGACAGTCTTGAGCAGTCGGGAGAAATGTTAAACATGTTTAATATTCTACGACGCGACTGCCCCCGACGCACACCATCGCGTCTGCGTTTAACTCACACAGACACGAGGCGACAACAAATCGCGTCGGGCTGCGTCGTACGACGCTGTCTGAGTTGGCCTTAATACGTATTTTATTTATATTGTTATTGTTATCACTATTACATTAGAGCCCACTTGGACCCCTTGGTACAACCGGGACGGCCCAAGTCAAACCGGAGACAATGAACAGATATGGGCAATATTAGATGTAAGTTTTCCATTCGTTCTTACATCATATATTCACTGAGATTGAGTGTTTACGTTTTATCTACATAACACATGAAACTTAGTTGCCACCTTAAGTTCTTTATTTATATATCCATTAATTTATAAATCTAAATGTTATTTACAGTAAAGCACATGATATGCAATCATATCACATTATACAAGTTACACATAATAAATTTACTGAGATTAGTGTTTACGTTTTGAACCTATATAACACATACCAACAAAACTAAACTAAATTGCCACCTTAAATCCATAATATAGGCCTTATCGATTCATTCATAAATCAAAATTATATTTACAGTAAAGCACATAATATGCAATTATGAATATTCTAGTCAGACACATATACAAGTTACAAATTCCCAATAAACCTTTTTACACAAATAGGAAAATCCGACAACAATGTGTGCGAACCCTGTAGGAATTGAATGCCAGACCGTATCCGGCGAACCATATACAACACCTGGTGAAAATGTTACTTGCTCCACCTCTCTTGGTTTCGAATGTTTACTAGAACTAAATGAAAATTCCTGCTCCGATTACAAAGTTCGTTTCTTATGTCCAGGTTAGTCTCATCTTCAGTCTCTATCATTTTAACTAATCAATTTTCATGGTTATTTTTGTCATCCTGGGCTATAAAATATAATGCAGAGCTCATAAAATTAAGTAATCATGAGAAGAGTTGTTTAAAATACTTGACGTGTTTACATAAAACCGAAAAGTGACAAAATAGTAAAACATTTACTTCATATAATTATATTCTAAAATGTGCATGTTTTACAATAATAAAACTTATTGTCGGTTATTAATCTTCTTTTATATTGACAAATAAAGTTAAGTGTCAGTATTAGCACACCTAAGAAACAACTTCAATCATAACAGTGAGCGGTTACATCATCTACTTAGCAATTGTTGTTAACAAATTTTAGAAAAATTGTACACTTTACTTGCCAGATGTTGTTAAACTTTTCTCAGATAATAAACGAATATGAAAATAATAAAATAAAAAATATCAAACTTGATCATGTTTGACCAGCTTAATGATTTTATTTTATCAAAATAGAGTCACATAATGATTTATTTTGACACTTAACAGTTTGTGTCAAGTGAAATAAGATGAAGCTGTTGTCTTCTCAAAGCTATTTTTAGGAAGTACAGGTCATGTTTCTATCTTTGTATGATTTCTGACTTGTTTGGTTCGTTGCTAAAGATTTCCAGTATTCTTACTCTTGTTTTTTTTCTTACATTAGGCGTTTTATAAATGCATGATATAATTATCTCCAAAAGAAGGAGGTTACATTTGGGAGGTCATTTAAAATCTCAGACTAAATATCTTAAAAACTAAAAAAATGATCTAATTGAAGCTTTTGGAATGGTTTTTCATGGTCCAAGGAAAAGGTTCTTGGTGACGAACCGAGTATGGTGTGGATATGAGGATACTATATGGTAGTTGATGCGTTGCTTGAGGCAATGCAATGGCCTAGCGTTGTTGCAAAAAGAGTATGATAAGTAAATAAAATTAGTAGATTCACAATCGAGAGAAGGGGGGGGGGGAGACAACTTATGATTTGATCTGTTATTAAGTGTTATTGAGAGAGCCTTTTTATATAGAGGGCCTAAATAAATTTACTATACCCCTTCATACATTTTTGGTACACATTCTTTACTAAAATATATAGAGAAGCGTGTATATGTCTTCATGTATGTTAACAATTTCAACATTAATATTTTCAAATGTTTAGCAAACCTTGAGCGAAGCACTGCAGAAGGTACACAGAGAGCTACAAGTAATGGTACGTGAATGTTGTTGAAAAATGTATTACTCATAACTGTCCATTGTATTATACGATATCTTGTTGGGAAAAAAAATCGTGTCAATAAGAACATCCTAAATACACAAGCTTGGTTATCTCCAAAAGGAGGTTACATTTGGGAGGTCATTTAAAATCCCAGACTAAAATCTGTTATTAAGTGTTATTTAAGAGAGCCTATTTATAGAGGGCCTAAATAAATTTATTATACCCTTTCGTACATTTTTGGTACACATCCTTTACTAAAATATATAGAGAAGCGTGTATCTGTCTTCATGTATATTAACAATTTCAACGTTAATATTTTTAAATGTTTAGCAAACCTGGAGCGAATCACTGCAGAAGCTACACAGAGAGCTACAACTAATGGTACGTGAATGAATTGTTGAAAAATGTATTACTCATAACTGTCCATTGTATTACACAATATCTTGTTGAAAAAATCGTGTCAATAAGAACATCCTAAGGAGTACAAGTTTTGCCCCATCACTTAGTTGAAACAGCAAGCGAACGGTAATCAGTTCTTGGTAAAATATATTGTCATCGTTATTCACGACATATTCCTCCAATCGGATTTGATTTTCTAACATCGTTTAACAATGTATTTACATTTATTTAAAGCATTAGCACAAAACGACGCTGTCATATATTATTAACATGAACCTTAATTAGTGGTGGAAAAAATACCTCTAGCTTGGTTCGAACATGCGATCTCTTTAAACCGTAACAGTTAACTAGAACATTTTATGTACTTGAGTACATATTACCATTACACAATATTTATTATGTGTCGAACACAGACTGGCATCAACGTTTGGTGTTGCGACAAACAGGATCTTTCTGCTATAAGAGCAAGAAGAGCAAGAAGTCTATTAAGATCTGTTCTAAAGAACATGCATAAAACGGTAAGCGAATAATACACTACCAGTGGCGGACCGTCAAGGCAAGAAAGGTATGCAGTACATACCCTGAATGAAACAAATATAAAAAAATATTGTAGTACAGTTTCTCTGTTTTATTTAGCATTTCTTAGTTAGAATCTTCTATATAAACCTTAATTTTACGAATGGATTGCTACAGTTTGGTATGCTATCGAGGATATAACTCACAGTCGGGCCTATCGCATCGTACTCTCAGCTGCTTAGAATTTCCGCATGGCTGATTTTCAATACCAGCAAATCACGGATTCAGTGCCCAATGGGTGT